TGCTGTGTGCCGGGAAGAGCGAAAGGTCCGCCGTGCGCACGCGCCATGCAGCACCAATCATCTCGGATACGTGGGTTGCAATTGTGAAGCCAATCATGCGAGATGCTCTTCAATTGAAGGCGTGACTGTACGAGGAAGCGCAATCAAGGAGAGAAGCTACAAGCCGTCCTTCGATCCTGTATCCACAGCAGCTTCTCCACTATTCATCAAATCCTGTTTCTCTCCCCAAGCTGTGCACCAAGCTGCACACCAGACGTACGAGATAAGCGAAGCAGCCACCATCATTCGATCGTCACAGCCACCTCATCCTCAAGCCAACCTCGGAACTCCTCCGGCCGCTCTCACCTCGCGACCTCGGCAGTCTGTCTGGCTTTGCGTGTCGGTACTCTCTCAAAAGCTGCTCGCTTGATTCGCAACAAGCGCTACTTGCCCCAGCACTCGACTTTCCAAGTTTCGAGACTCTGTGACTCTCGGCGCATCCTGCTCATCCTGACATCACCACAATTCCAACCCCAACGTCAAGATGTCTACGGCCCCTCAGACCAGCGCGGTCCCGTCCATCCCGGCTGCCCCTCACCGTACAGCCTACACTGTCCTCTCCCAGACATTCTTGATCGATTCGGCCTACGAAATTTCCAAAGAATTGGGCCAAGGAGCGTATGGATGTGTGGCTCATGCGACTCATAAGGCTACGGGTGAAGGAGTGGCCATCAAAAAGATTACAAATGTCTTTAGCAAGAGGATCTTGACGAAGAGAGCTCTGCGCGAGATCAAGTCAGTGAGAAGGTCGACACTATGCGCAATGGTGGGAGCAGAATGGCACTGGTCTGCGCTCGCGTGCTCATGCTCTTGCCCCTCGCTGTGCTTTTCACACTCAGACTTTTGAGACATTTCCGGGGACACAAGAACATCACTTGTCTGTACGATATGGACATTATCAACCCCAACGATTTCAACGAAGTCTATCTGTACGAGGAGCCCATGGAGGCTGATCTTCACGCCATCGTGAGTCTCGCACAGCAGGCTAGCAGCAGCTTGGATGTATGCTACGGATCTGCTCGAACGTGCCCATCTGACACTTGCTTTTCCTCGCCCACAGATTCGATCTGGACAGCCGCTTTCGGACGCACACTTCCAATCATTCATCTATCAGACGCTATGCGGTCTGAGATACATTCACTCGGCCAGCGTGCTCCATCGAGATCTCAAGCCGGGTAAGTCGTCGGGCGCTCGAGTCGTCGTCCCTGGCGCTTGCTGCCAACTTGGCAACTCGCCCTGATCCTTTTCGACTCCTTTGTTTCCCTCTCTAGGAAATCTGCTGGTGAATGCCGACTGCGAATTGAAAATTTGCGATTTCGGACTGGCTAGAGGTTTCGAGACGGATGCTGAGTTGGCTGCCAAGGGTGGACAGCCCGCCGGAGGCTTCATGACCGAATATGTCGCTACGCGTTGGTACAGAGCTCCCGAGATTATGCTCAGGTGAGTAGAAGAGGCGATGACGAGAGGATCGCAGCTGTAGGTGGATCGTACTTGTCATGCGTGGCTGGCCGAAGCACACTGTTGGAAGCATGCTTGACGAGAGCAGCGGTGCGCATGGGGACGCGAAGCTGGCCAACGCTTTGACGCCCAAGCTTGAGTCGAACCATCAATGTTGGCCCTCAGGGATAGAGAGCAGCAAGGGCTTCACCTTCTCTCGAGGAGTCTGGCAGTGCTCTCCAAGCCCGCGCAGCGTTAAACTCTTTCGTTGCGTTTTTTGACTCAATTTCGCTCATCCTTCTTGCCAATTTGCACCTCGCAGCTTCCAAAATTACACTACAGCGAGTGAGTCCGGCTGACTTGTTCGAAACTTTGAGCCTGCGACGCGCCCAATGAGCTTGTGGAGCACAATGAGCTTGTGGAGCGATCGACTAACCCGCACCTTTCCATCTGGCCCCCCTCGCGCACGCGCCAAGTCGACATTTGGTCCGTGGGCTGTATCCTTGCTGAGCTGCTGGGTGGAAAGCCAATCTTCAAGGGCAGAGACTATGTCGATCAGCTCAATCAGATCCTGCACTACCTCGGAACCCCTTCAGAAGAGACCTTGAGAAGGGTAGGCTCTCCAAGGGTGAGCCGCTCTTGGCGCAGAGTGGTGCTTGGCCCGAAGATGCTTGATGCTGAGTACTGACCGCGCTTTCTTTCACCTCGACAGGCGCAAGATTACATTCGCTCGCTTCCCTTTAAAGCTCGCATTCCGTTTTCTTCTCTATACCCAAGCGCCAATCCGCTCGCTCTAGACCTCCTCGAGAAGATGCTAGCATTTGACCCCGCTAGACGCATCAGCTGCTCAGACGCGCTTAGGCATCCTTATTTGGCAGTCTGGCACGACCCGGCAGACGAGCCGACTTGCCCTTCAAAGTTTGATTTTGGATTCGAAAGCGTGGAAGAGGTGGAAGGTATGAAGAGGTTGATTTTGGAGGAGGTGTCGAGTTTCAGGAACGAAGTGCGCGTGAGGGCTAGAGCTCAACAGCCAAGAAGGCAGGAAAGGTGAGTGGCGAGCGTGCATGTGGGACTCGTCATTCCGCCTCCAGTACACCTTGTGCTCACACGCATACAATCGCCTCTCTGATCCGCCCACATCATCAGTCTGCCTGTTCCTACCCGCGAAGAATTGCAAAGATCTTCCCCTACGGACCCGACAGCGCCCAACTCGCACCTCATTGGCGCTTCGTCTGGTATCATTCAAGGAGGAGCCACACAGGCCGGAGAAGGCAACGCGGGCCAGGTGCTCGATGACGCGCAGATGCTCGAGGATCCAAGCGGTGAGATGACCCCGCAGGAGACAGAATGGAGAGTCTGGTCAAGATGCTCTTCGACTCAACCCTTTTTTTCTTTGTTTTGGTATCCTTCACAGAGGCGTTTGAAAGAGAGCTGACGAGACAACAATGAAGTCTTACTGTCTTTGCAGGGTGGCGGAGACGCATCGCTTTCTTTTCCAGCACTTTGGGGGCGCGATCTCAGCGTCCAGATGAGAACTTGGAATGATATACATTTTGCCACGTCTTTGATCTGTTCAATTTCACTTCGGATTTGCATTCTCGATGATTACTTTAATGACTCCCCTTCCATCTGCGCTCTTTCCATTGCGGAGCGTCTCGAAGGCCTGCT